AGCTCCACTGTGATAAATCAAAATAACACGCTTCTAACAAAGGCGCTGGGTGTGTTTACTTATTTTATAAATAGCAACTTAAGAGAAATATTTGGAAATGGTGTCCAGCTTTCTTTCTAGAACAAGAGGAGTCCAGATATAGAAGAGGAGGGAAAAAGAATCACTTGAGAGAAAATCAAACTTGTGGAAACTGAGAATGAAAATAGGACCAAGAAGTGGCTCAGGGTTAGCCTGCTGGAAGCCCAACGCTCCCAACTGGACGTCCTCAGATCATGAAAGGCAAAGAAGGAAGATCTGAAATTTCCTCCCGTGGTGATTTTTATAAATAGCATGGTGTCTCCCAAACTTCATATCAACTATCACTGTGAAAAATCTTAGCCTCTCCACGTAACACTTAACTAGTTTTCTAAAAATCTTGATTTTGGAAAAAAATTTATATCACCACCACAAATGAAGAAAATCACTTCCTATGTAAAGGACAAGTATAAAAATAAAAGGTTTCTAAAAACAAAAGCTTCCTAAATTCCAGTTAGCTGCTACCTGTTGAAGACTGAGCACATGTCAGTGGGGGTTAAGAGCATGCTACAGACGACAAGCTCATCTTGAATGAACAGGTGAGTGCATGAGTGAACGAGCGCACAGCTCTACCCAGCAGAGAAGGTCGTGTGTACCCAAGGCGAGGAGGGTTGGCAGGAAAGGACACTTTCCTCAACCCAGGAGAGAGGAAATAGTATCAGAGAATATAAATAAACCTGAGAGAAAGAAAACAGGACATGTCAAAATCGGAACCTCCTGACTTTCCACCCAAAAACCTCTTTCTCTTCCAGCCTTTCTCCATCTTAGTTAATGGCAACTCCATTTTGTGAGATACTCAGACTAAATATCCGAGAGCCATCCTTAATTCTTCTCATACTCTGCAGTCACTATATCATGAAATTCTTCTGGCTCTACCCTCAAAATATAGCCAGTTCCCATCATTTGCTGTCACCCCCCTACCCCGCACCCCCATGCTGTATCCCTGGCTTGGGTTACCACATCTCCTGCTAAGACCTTACAGTGGCTTCCTCACTGAAGCTTCTGCTTCTTACTCAATGCCTCTGTGAAACAAAGCAGAGGAACTGTGAAACATGCCACTGCTGGGCTTAAAGCCCTACACCTTTCCATTTCACTTGGGAAACACCAGAGTCCTTTCAGGGGCCTTAAAACCATGGTGACCATCTGTTCATGGCTTCTCCAACCTGACCTGCCACTCTCCAGAGGCCAGCCACTTACCTCCTGCTGACCCACCAAGCAGCTTCCCACTTAGAGTCTTTGCCCTGGCTCTCCCTCTTCCCCCGACCTTTTCTCTGCATAGTCACAGGACAATTTCCTTACTTCAGGCTTTCCTCACTGACACAGTCTCAGCAGAGCCTACTTTGGCCATCAAAGTTCAAATTACAACCCACCTACCTCATCCACTCAGCAACCCTGCCCAGGACGTCTTATGATAGTCTCCTTTTTCCCTTCTTAGTGTATCTCCCTCTAACATAGTATTTTCTTACAGTATTATCTGCTCAGTGCTTATTCCTCCAAGAGGAACTTTTATCTGATTTATGCACCGATTTGGGCCAAGTAACAGGATATGAGATGCTCAATATGTATTTAATGGGTATTTTTATTTAATGAATAAAAATGAAAGACTCAGGCCAAAAAAGACAAGAAGAGGGAACTTGGAAGACCATTCAGACTCAAAGCAATTGAACTAGGAATGATTTCTTGTCATGTGTTTCAACACTATTTAAAACGGAAATGATGCTTTTGTTTTGTTTTGTTTTTGCAAAACTGGGCTTTGAACTCAGGGCCTTCACCTTGAGCCACTTCACCAGTCTTTTTTATGATGGGTTTTTTTGAGATAGGGTCTCGAGAACTATTTGCCTGGGCTGGCTTTGAACCGTGATCCTCTTCATCTCTGCCTCTTGATTAGCTAGGACTACACGTGTGAGCCACCGGTGCCCAGCTAATTTTTTAAAAATTATCATTGAAATCCTCAAATGTGAAAGAATAAATTATATCCATGGGACAAAAAAAAAAGATTTTTACAATAGCACCAACTAAAGAACAATTAGAGAATAAAATAAATTCCTGAAATTAAAATTATGATAGCTATCATATTTTAAAGCCAGTGAAGAGTAGAAGTTGAGGAAATTCTCTAAAAAGAACAAAATTCCAAAAGTGTGAAGAACTGAAGGTAAAAGAAGAGACAGTTCAGGAGGTCAACACACAACTAGCATGTTTTAAGAATGAAAGAATAGAGAAAATTGGGAGAAGGTAATATTTTTAAATATTCTGGAGCAGAGGATGTGACTTTCTGGGCTGTGGGAAGTCTCTCTGGGGTACAAGGTGAAGAAGAGCCCCTCAGTGCACCTCAGCAGAGATCCTGAAGTTTCTACTGTTTCTAGACTATAGAGCAGTGCTCAGAGGAGCACAGACCATCTCAGCAATACCCCAAGAACTAGAAAATGATGGAGCAAGTTTCTCACAATCCTGTGTGTAAATGGATTTAATTCAGAGATATATGCCCACCCAGGCCATCAGTCAACCTGAAGCAGAATAAAGGCTTTATTCAGACAGGGAGAGTCTCAAATTTTTACCAACATTCTCCTGCCTTCAGGAAGTTTCTATAAGGTGTGTGCTAGTGTGGATCTAGAAGGCTTTCCCACAGGCCTCTGTGTTAAAGGATTGGTCCCCACAGCGGTACTGGGGAGGTGACAGAACCTTTAGAAGGTGTGGCCAAGTGGGAGGGTCTTAGGACAGGAGGGGACTATCTTTGAAAAAGATATTGGGACCCTGGCCTACTTCTCTTTCACATCTGAGCGGAGTTTGGCTCACCACACACTGTTACCATCATGTACTGTACCACACATGCTCAAAGCAATGAGGCCAACAGATCAGGGACTGAAATCTCCAAAACCATGGGCCATAATCAACCTTTCTTCTTTGTAAGCTGGTTATTTGGGGTATTTATTACCTAGCTATTACAGAAAGATGACGACAAATGTGCTCTGCCTAAATAAGAGAGAAAAATAATAAATAGAAAAAACTGAGATTCAGGAAATAGGTAATCCGAGTTAAGAGGATGTAAGAGAAATTTCCAGAATGGTGACAGGAAGCCACAAGATAACAGCTGTGCAGCAAAGCTGAAGAGCACCCTCCAGATGGAAACAGAAAAACAAAGATCCAGAGATAACTCAGAGGGAAAAAGACATTAGATGACCTAATTCAGAGATGTCAGTTCTGTAGAACATTCAGGAATAAACCATGGACGGGAATAAAGAGGCAGTTACTACCCCTAGGAAAAATAAAAATTGCACAAGAAGGAAATGTAATCATAGTGTTCTATGTGGCTCAGCTTTGAACATTACTTACAGAACCACAATGACACAAATAGTATGAGTTAAACCAAAGCCAAAGCAATGTACCTCTGCTGGAGGGATGAGGAAAGGAAGACAGGAAGTAGACGTCCATAAAAGGAAGTCAACTGACAATGCCCAAAATGGTGAGTCAATAAATAGAAGTGAAGGTATTGGTTTTTAGAAATATGGAAGCCAATTTCTTCTAAATTCTTTACTTTTTCAAAGAGTGAATACTTTTGACAAAATTAAAAGTAGCCAAAAAGAGTGTCAGTGGTTTTGTCTGGGGTTAGAATGGGAGGGACAAGAGGTGGGGACAAGGAAGAATCATTTGTTGTCATGAGACTTAATTCTGCTTTGGTTTCAGACCATGCACATGTGTTATGTTGATAAAAATAAATATTAATTTTTAGATGTGGGACACACTGGCACCAAACCAGTGCTTTCCACTTGACATTCCACAAGGGTTTAAAGACAACTAAAATAGGAAGGACTTCTCGTGACGTGGTTCAATGTTACCTAAGACCAAGTCTACACACCTCTTAAATCTTTCTGTAGTGCATGGTGATGTGCTCGCTACATTTCCAAGCTTAGGAAATAATTCATAATTCCTTGGAGCAAGAGAGTGAAGAAGAAGTCAGTATCAGCAACTCAACGATCATGACTTGCCAAAACTGAATTGAAGTGATTAAAAAAAAAAAAAAAAGCCCCATGGTCAATAATTATTAATAATTATTAATATCATAGTTCAAAATTTTTCCACAAGGAAAACATCAGATCCAGACAGTTTTAAGCCAAGTGTTACACAAATTTGAAGCAATATACTCTTTCAACCTAATTTAAATTACCTGACAAAACAGGATAGGCTGATTCTTCACCTCATTTGAAATTAGGAAGACCTTGATGCAAAATGAGGTAAAACAACCCAAGAAAGGAAAAAATGTCAGCCAGCCTTCCTCATAGAGACAAAGGAAAAAAAAATACCAAAATGTTAATGAAAAACCAACAGTGCATAAATGATGATGCAGGCAGTGTTTTTAAAAGCACTTGGTTTGGGGGAATGCAATGTAAAGCTTCTTGCACAGGCAAATGCATGGTGTTCGTGGTAGAACATTCTGTGTGGGTCTGAGAAAGGAAGGCACGGAAGAGGATCAAAACCACCATGAAAGCACAGGCCATCTACAGAATCCTCCTCCTGTCTTTGATGTTAGGAAGCGATTCATGGAGAAATGGGCAGAGGGTATACCAGTCCACCTCTGTTTTGGAGAAGAAAGGCAGAAATAAAGATGGAAAATTATAGAAAACTTCATTCGCCCAGAGCCTCTGTCCTCTCATGGGGTTGGAGGGGCTCTCTGAGCAAGCTGCCATGCCTGAGAGACACAGCACCTCCTCCTCCGTCCTGGCCTTTTGGTGAGCACGTTCTGCCAAGCCTGCAATGCAGCCGGGCGGAGATCCACCACTGGGCACGCCAGGCTTCATGGACTCGAAGACTCTTAGCCGTGAAGTGATTTGCTGACTGCCTGTTACAAATGAACTCAGGCTGTCGCCATGACCCTTCCTCCATTCAGAAGTGGCACAAGTGTGGCAGAAGTGTGTAGAAGCATTACTTACTGTGCACGAAATATTCTCTCAAACTGTGGTGACCCAGTGACTGCTGGGGCAGTGATCTTGCATTGTAATCTTGTCTTTCCAACGTGCAAAGCAAAGTAGACTGCAACGAAAGGGAATGTTGTTAAAGATGTGTAGTCATCAGCGAATGCAATTTTAAACCACAAAGACCCCCCCGCCCCCGTGCCCACTGGAATGTCTACAGTTAAAAAGACAGACCATACCAATTCAACAAGAGTCAGGCAAGGATGTAGGAGCAACGTACATGCCTGTAGTCCCAGCTGCTTGGGAAATGGAGATTGGGAGAATCATGGTTCAAGGCCAGCCTAGGCAAAAAGCTAATGAGACCCCATCTCAACCAATGATCCAGGCACGGTGGTTCACTTCTCTAATCCTAGCCACATGAGAGGCATAGGTAGGAAGATTACCATGTAAGGTAGGCCCCAGACAGAAATGCAAGACCCTATCTAAGAAATAAGTAAGGCAAAAAAGGGCTGGGTGCAAGTGGTAGAGCACCTGTCTAGCAAGCACAAGGCCCTGAATTCAAATCACAATACCACCAAAGAAAAAAAAAACAGTCTGAAAGGGGTTTTTTAGACACATATGAACCACATGTCTAAGTCATTCCAGTCTTGGCTTCTCATTGCTGTAACAAACACCTAAGAGAAACAATTTAAAAGGAGAAAATTTTATTTTGGCTTATGGTTCCAGAAGTTCCAGAAGCTGACTGGGTCCATTGCTTTGGATCTGAGGCAAGGCAGATTGTGTTGGAGATGGAGGCTGCTAACCTCACAGTGGCCAGGAAGCACAGACAGACAGGAAATAGCCAGGGCCAGACTCCCTCCACAGGCACCGCCCCCAGTGACCTACTCCCACCCACCAGACCCAACCACCCACCCCTCCCAATAACACCATCAGATCATGAACCTGTCCATGGATAGTCCATTGATTAGGCCATGAATCCAACCACCTCTTGACCAGGACCCACTAGCCGGGACCAAGCTCTGACCACATGAGGCTTTGCAGAGAGGGGTCACTTCACAGCAAAACCATAACAGAAATGAATCACGTCTATACGAAGACTCTAAAACAAACATCCACGGCAGTTCTATTTGTAATTATCCCAAACTAGAAACAACAAGCTTAATTTCACATGGCTACTTCTGTGTGTCAGCTTGGCAAGTCTGTGACTTCTGTTGTTTGGTCAAACACCAATGGAGGTGCAGGCATGAAGGTATTTTTTAGGATTAACATTTAAAGCAGTAAACTTGAGTAAAGCCTATCACCTTCAGTAATGTAGATGGGCCTCATCCAATCAGTTGAAAGACTAAAGAGGTATGAGGGAGATCCCCACCCAAAAGGAAAAGAATCTTAGGACCCAGCCTCAACTCTTACTAGGGTTTCCAGCCCCTCAACCCATGGTGCAGATGTCAGACCTGCCAGACTCCACAGCTGCATGAACCAATTCCTCAAAACGTGTGTGTGTGTGTGTATGTGTGTGCGTGTAAACATGTCCCACTGGCTCTATTTTTCTGAAGAACCCTGACTACTAATGAGTGTCCATCAGCAGAGAGTGGATAAACAAAGTGAACTGGATCTGTGGAAATGGGACACTACTGAACACTAAAAATGGATAAACTGTTGATACACAAAACAACATGGACAATTATCAAAATGACTATGCAAAAATTTTAAATGCCATGGCATAATTTCGTTCCTACAAAACTCTCAAAAGGCAGTGAATCTACAGCGATATAAAGCAAATCAGAAGAGAATGAGGGCCAGAAGGAAGGAAACTTGGGACAGTAATGGCTGCCTGCCTGCCTGTTCCCCTGTTGTAAAAGGGTCTGACTTTCTTATCCTCAGTTGGTGAGTGGAAGTTGCACTAGACTGCCAACCTCAATGCCTGGAATCACTTTATCCTTAGTTCTGAGCCCTCTTCCCCTTCAGACTTACACTTCCTTCCTCCTCAGTCAGTTTCGGAATCTTCCATCATCCCCATCTCCTGTCTTGCCTCCTCCTTTTCATCCCATAGCTAACTCCTGGGTGGTCTATCACTCCCTCCAATTATGTCTCCCAGTCTCACTTCCTTACCAGATCCTTCCAACCTATTCCCATCTTGCTCATTTTAGCATCTCACCATCAACTTCCTACTTGGGAATGTTTAAAAAATAGTCTCCTTTCAGTTCGCATGCTAAATTTGCATTTCAGTCTCTCCTGGTGTGACAGTATTCAAGGTGACTACTTCCTGCTGAAACAGGGCACTTTCTGTCCTCCGACAAGAAATCGGTCAGTGCTGACTTGGGAAGGTTTAGCCAGGGCTCCTTCAGCAGGCTGCTCCCCTGCCCCACTCCCCTTCTGCTACATATAAGCTGTTGTTTATGGCTTAGTGCTGGAGCTGAGCACCTGAGGTATGTAATCGCTTAAGACTGGAGTCCTCCTTCTAACTGCAGCTGAGAGAGTGGAGCAAGGCAAGGGGAGGGCAGGATGGGCCCTGCTTGTGTTCAGTCCTGAAGAGGCCAGTGGCTCATGGACCCAACTAGCTCCAGAGGAGGGGATCTGTCCACCAGGGGAAACTGACTTAGCTCTAGAGCTTGTGGTTACCATTGTTTCTAACTTGCTTCACGACTTGGAGAAAACACTTTCCCAGCTTGTTCCATTGAAACAATGAAAGACTTGCTCCTAGACTGATCAGTTAGCAATGGCACAAAGCCAAGGGCTTCCAAATGAAGCTGTGAGGAAGCAAAAGCTTTGAGAGGGCCATCTGCTTTCTCCAGGCTGTTAACTGCACCTGGTGGGCACCTGTCTGGCTGACTGTGACTCCAGCAAATGTGAGGGCCCAGTTCTAGCAAGTGGAGAGGTACAGGGATTTCTTCCCCACTCCCAGCAGTCAGGATCAGCTGGGCTCAGGGCCAGCCCAGGGGTAAAATCTCCACTCTACTCCCTGGGCCCAGGGCCCTCAGAGAGACAGACCATGGCTATCGCTGGGATGCAAGAAGCAGGAAAAGCTATTTCACCTTTTTTCTGGAATCAGCTCATGAGTTGATTTAAACCACTTGAAAATAGTCACCTTTTGCTTGACCAGTCTTTCCTTTTTCCCTGGCTCTCTCCAGGGGTATGCCTGGGGGATGAGAGTGAAGGGAGACGTCCCATTTCCACAGATGATGCTCACCCAGCCAGAGCTGGGCTCTTTTCCCCCTCTACCTCCCCTTACACCCCACACACACACACCCTGGCAGCTACTCCTCCATCCAGCAGCATCTCTGTAAGGGAGTTCAGGATGGGAGATAGCAGTGCTGACACCTTCCCTGGGCCAGGAACCATGGGGTATTTCCTACCCAGGGTCCTCTTTAACCTTCTTTTATGGGGACCTTAATGGGCTGAGTGTCCAGGCAGGGACACCCAGCTGAGGAGTGACTGGGTCAAATGGATATCCACATCTGTCTGCCTGTCTGTCGTCAAAACCTGAACTGTTCCACCATGCACAGACTGCCCCAACTCCATAAACACCAGACTTTTGTAAAAGCACAAAATTCTGGTTCTTAGCGCCAGCTAAACAGTTTCCTCTGTCTGCCCCATCACTAAACATTCCCTGGGCACCGTGACCACCATTCGCCCAGTCTCCTCTCTTCCCACCCCATCCAGCCTTCCAGTTAGGGTTCACACTGTCCCCTGTGCCAGCCAGCAGACAGAAGGCCCTCTGTGAAGACAAGAGAGCCTCTGTCAGCCAGGGCATCTGGGTCCTGTGCCCTCTGCAGTCACAGGATGAGGCACGTGTGGACCAGGTACTGAACACGGATGGGGACAGATTACTTTAGACTCAAGTACTTCTCTGGTTGGTAGCAAACATCCTGCTCTACTCCACAAAATACTGTGAATCAAACTACAAAATGTGTGCCTGAAGGTTTAAGATTGGCAAGCACTAGCTGGCAGAGTGGCTCAAGTGGTAGAGTGTCTGCCTAGCAAGCACGGGGCCCTGAGTTCAATCTCCAGTACCACCCGCTCCCCACCAAAAAAAAAATTGGAAAGGCAAGGCACTGTGCATGGAGGCCTGAACTTTGTTCCTAGGTGTGGTGCCATCATGCTTCAGGCTGTGTGTGACCTGAGTCATGGTCCCCAGCTCAGCCCTGGTTCTTGGTGTGTGCACACTCGGAAGACACTCTGCTCACGGAGACTCAGTCCTTTCCCCACTGAGCACTGTAAGTAAGAAACCATGGACTGAGCAAATGTGACTCCTGTGGAGAAAAACGCTCTCTGCCTACCCAGACAAAAGGCTAGTGAGTAATCCCAGTGTGAAGAAGCTTGTAATATTTACAAGTGCTTAATCTAAAACTTAAATTTCTGCAGGACATTTAACGTTATCATCGTACCTGCCACAGGCAGTTTATTTAAGGAAACATATTAATTAAAAGATCAGGTTTCAAGAAATCATAACTGGGTTTAAAAGCAAGAAAAAGTTACCTTTGGAATTGTGATCAAAATTTAACCCCACTCCCCCAGGTAAGCATACTTCGTGTGCTTATTTGAACTGGACTGTGGGTTGTAACCACAGGTGGTGCAGAGTCACCAACTCGGAGGCATCCTTGTGAAAAGATCTAATCTCTGGATGTCTCTGCAGGTCCTGGGGAAGGACCCTGCAGCAGTTCTGTGTTCTGCTGGCACCCAGGACCACTGGCCAAGGGCGAGTGTGACCCAAACATCAGACCCAATAAACAAAACACTTCACTTGACTGAATTCCTACCTCCCTTCCTCTCTCTTCCTCTCTCTCTCTTCCTCTTTCTCTGCCTTTCTCTCTGCCTCTCTCTCTCTCTCTTTCTCTCTCTCTCTCTTTCTAACACACACTGCTCATGGCTCTGTCTCCGTCTCTCTCTCTCTCCCTCTAACACACACACACACACACACACACACACACACACACACACACACACTGCTCATGGCTCTTACTTTGCTGACAGGCAGAGAGAAGGGAGACAGCAGCCAGCAGGATTGCATTCTCCACCATCTTTCACAGGGACAGTCTGGTTCCTGGAACTTTCTAGCAAGCCAACAACAAATGAGAGGCACCTTAGGGTGTTGAGAGGCTGACCTTCCTTCCTTATAAGGCCAATGGAGTGGGGGCAGGGGCGGATTCAAGCAGTTGAGTAACCTTTGCCCTGGAAGCAAACAAAGGAGGGTGGGCTGGGCTGGGATGCAGGGCGGGTGGCTGATCCCTGGAGTTGCTTCCTGAATTTGCCCTGCCTCTCTCACAGCAGCGGTAGGGCCAGGGCTCACCCAGGAGGTTAGCCCAGTGGGGTTAGCCCTCCCACAGCAGTGCCTCATTACACTGTCTTCATTGCCAAGTCACCACCCCTCTGCACACCCTTCATTCCCCAACACGCATCAGGCCCTGCTGAGCTCTTTCTCTCCTCCTGTGGGAAGGAAGCATGTCCCTAATCCATTGAGATTTTTCACTGGTAATTATTCACTTTATTCACCGTCAATGGCAGACCCAGGATTTGAACTCAGGTCTAGCAGATTGTAATTTTGTCCTATCATCTGCACCTTGAGGGCTCCCACTGTCACTTCAATTCTTCCCTGATACTGTAGCTAGACATTTTTTAAAAACTAGGTTTACGTGTTCTGTAAGAGGGCCCTTTCTAGAAGACATAGACCAATATTTCAAGCCAGACCTCTAGTAGGAAACTCGTGGTCAGCACAGTGGGCCAGAAAACTCTGGTGTCAGAACAGACCACACATTACCTCAGCCGAGCATGATTCTCACAGCTGGGGGCTGCTTCTGCAGAACCCACTCATCACACACAGGAAAAAGTTGGGGAGACTTTCCTTATCCCACCTGCCAGCTCGATTTGAATGTCTGAGTCAGCTCAGGCTGCAGACACTACAGAGGGGGGGCTTAAGCAACAGACATTTATCCCTCAGAGGTCTGCTGGCGGAAAGGTCCAAGGTCACAGTGCTGGCCAGTTGGTTCCTGATGAGGGACCTCTTCCTGGTTTGCAAGGGCCACCTTGCTGTGGTATCACATGGTGGAGGCAGAGGGAGAGCAAGCTCCCTGCTTGTTTCTTGTAAAAGCACTAACTCCAATCTTGGGTCTTTCCACCCTCATCACCTCACTCATCACCTAACACTTTCCAACTCCCCGCACCTCTAACACTATCACATTGGAAGGAGGGACTCAACATAGAACCTGGGGAGAGCACAAACATTTAGTCCATAGCTGAGAGTGACTAGAGCCTGGAAAGGTCAATGGCCTAGCTTCTCACTTGACATTGAATGATGACCCAACTGGAGAAAGAGTCTGAGTCTCAATCTGATAAGGTGGGGCTAGAAAAGAGCTGGAGGGAAGTTTAAATGAAATTGGTGTGAGCCAAGCACCAGTGGCTCACGCTTGTAATCCTAGCTACTCAGAAGGCAGAGATCAGGAGGATTGCAGTTCGAAGCCAACCCTGGGCAAGTAGTTTGTGAGACCTTATCTTGAAAATACTCAGTACAACAAAAGAGCTGGTAGAGTGGCTCAAGTGGTAGAGTGCCTGCCTAGCAAGTCTGAGGCCTTGAGTTCAAGCCCCAGTACCACCAGAAAAGAAAAAAGAAATTGATGTGTTCACAACACTTATAAATTGTGTTTTGTAAAATAAGTACATAAAGTGTCTTAAAAAGTATGTAGCATATCATGTTCCTATGTTAAAGATATTTTCAAGAAAAAAATCCCAAGCATTGTATGCACATATGAATAATAAAAAATAAATAAAAAGAAAAAAATCATGTCTGTCATACGATGTGAAATTAAATCACAACAAAGATTTTATTTAACTCATTCACAAAAGAAGCAATAAGATGTTAGAACCAGGAACCACACACACACAGGGAACTGATTCCCAACAGCTGCATTCCAGGTCAGGCACAGTGCCCTGCTGGTCTCTTCAGGACCTCTCTGCCTCATTTGCTCTTGAAATCAATGAAGACTGAGATGCTGTAGGAAGACAGATCCGAGACCTCCGACACAGCACTGAAACTTCCTGTGTGCTCCAAGTCATGGTTGTGGCCTGCAGCACACAGCAGGGATTGTAAACTGCAAACTGACCTCCCTGGTCTCATATCACTACCTACTAAAATAACCTCCCCAAATGACAGATCTCAAAGGAGAGGGCAGGGCTAGACCTATGGACTCAGGAGGAGAGCTACTCAGAGACAGAGGGAGAGCAGGAGGAACTGACAGGCTAATGTGGCCCCGGCTAGGGGGTCAGCTTAACCTTCTTGGGATCCTACTGGGTTGCAATCTTCCCACGCTCTGGACAAATCCTGAAGCGCCCTACTGACTTCTCCCACCATCCCAGGCTCAAACCCAGCTGTAAGAGACATTCTTGCAAAGTAGCATAGGTAAGTAAATAAAGAAAAGCCTAAGTGCTTGGATACCCCTCACTTCTTCTTTTAGGGACCTTGGCTGTTGGTGCAGGTATTTCGGGACCCTAGGAAGGTGTAAACCAGAGGAGCCTTGAGTCATGGAGCATGTACTGCCTTTCCCAGTGTCAATTTTTCCAGATAAACCCAACTATTGAAATAATGGAACAGCATTAACAGAAGTCAATTGTGGCTACAATTCCAGGTTCTCTGTACATTTCCCTAGAATGGCGAACAGAAGATTATCCCCCAACACAGGAGATCCTTCTAGTGTGTGTTCTCTTTCCTACTGTCTTTTTCCTCCAGTGCTGGGAGTAGATCTCAGGGCTTTGCACATGTTTGGTAAGTGCTCTGCCACTGGGTTATGCCCCCAGTCATTTCTTAACATTTTTGCAAGAAAAGGAAAATTAGAAAGGACTGGCTGTGTAGTTCAAGTGATACAGCACCTGCCTAGCAAGTGTGAGGCCGTGAGTTCACATCCCAGTATCACCTAATAATATTCTTGATGAGGCTGTGACTCAAGTGGTAGAGCACCTGCCTATCAACTACAAGGCTCCAAGTTCAAACCCCAGTACTGCCAAGAGGGAGAGGAGGAGGAAGAGAAGAACAACAACAAAAGGCAGAGGAGGGGAAGGAGAAAAGGAAAATAAGAGGACAAATAGCAGATTGGTAATGATAATAAAATATTTTTAAATATTTATGTTATTTATATGAACTAAAAAGAGCTCTATATGAGTTTCTGAGAGTTTGACTTCTTATTTCATCAGTTTCTTACCAAAATTATACTATGGTAAGGCAAATCAGAAAGGCCAATGGTCGGTGACATAAAAACAACCCTGAACCATGTAAAAGAACTGCTTTAATGAGATGTAAACTCTAAATGGAAATGTTTCTGAGGGCTGGAGGAGTGGCTCAAATGTTAGAGCACCTACCTAGCAAGCATGAGCCCTGAGTTCAACCTCAAACTAAAAAAAATAGTAATATGTAAATGAATAAATATAAATATAAATAAATACAGTTATTTTTTAACCCAAGCATGGTGATGCATGCCAGTAATCCTAGTACTCAGGAAGCTAAGACAGGAGGATCTCGAGTTCAAGGTCAACCTGGGATGGATATGGAGACCCTGTCTAAAAGCAAAAATGTAACCATTTCTACATAATTCTGAAAACTGATTTTAAAATGATGCATTGATTGACACTAATGTTTTCTCTCAGAAACATTCTCCATTGTATCTCCCAAACTTTTCTCTGGCCCACTGTCTCCCTTCTTTCCCTGTGCTTTCAAAAAGTGCAGCCTATCCATCATCCTGGTGTTTTCAGGGCACTGCAGAGAGCTGTCTGGCTGCCAACAGGCTGGTGGCAGAAAATACACCTCCTTCCCAGGGAAGCACAGAAACAGTCAGGGGATGGCAATATCAGCGACCATCGTGCTCTTGATTGAAAAATAGAGCACAGAGGACTTGTCCCAAGCCTGGAGTTAATGACACTATCTTGCTGGAAGTCTTGGCCAGTTGAAGAATCTGGAACAATACAGTAAGTTGTTGTTTTTTTCTTTTTTCTTTTTGTTTTTTTGTGGTACTAGGATTTAAACTCAGGGCCTACACCTTGAGCCACTCTACCGGTCCTCTTTTGTGATGGGTTTTTTGAGATAAGGGCTCACAAACTATTTGACTGAGCTGGCTTCGAACCCAATCCTCCTGATCTCTGCCTCCTGAGTAGCTAGGATTACAGGCATGAGCCACTGGCACCCTGCAGGCAGTAAGTTTTTAAAAGCTCAGATAAACAGAATTTGAAATTATGCCCCATTTTGCAATATACCATGAAAAAGTACTTTCTCCTCCCCTTTCAGAGCCTGGAGCATTTTGCTCTGTCACCCTGTGTGGAAAGCCAAGCCAAAAGGGCAAAGGCCTTCTTTCCCCACTGAGGGGACAGCTGCCTTGGGCACAGTGCAAAAAGTTACTGTCAGAGTTCAACGAGCCTTGGCAAACTGCCTGCCACCCAGCACCAGGAATGACCTAGCAAAGGTCAAAGATAGAGAAAAAAGAGCAAAATGTAAGGAAAATAAATGTCCAAGCTGGCGCTGGTGGCTCACATCTGTAATCCATCTACTCGCGAGGCAGAGACCATCAGCTCAGGCAAACAGTTCTCAAGACCCCATCTCCAAAATAACCAGAGCAAAATGGACTGGAGGTGTAGTTCAAACTATAGAGTGCCAGCTTTGCAAGCTTGAAGCCCTGAGTTCAAACCTCAATCCCACCAGGGTAGTACCTGGTACACCTGATAAACTACCCCAGGGTAGTATAGAAAGAAGAGTCAATATTTGATCTATGGGTGGTGATCCAGTTGCTACACTTTCCTGGATCTTTCTTCAAAGAAAAGTGATAGCTCTGACCTTACTCCTCTGAGGAGTAAATGAAATAACACAAGGAAAACAAAAAGCACAGGCACTGGAATATGACCTGCCATCCACAGGTGTCACCCAATCCCTATCTGCCACACCTCTGTGCCCTCCAGCCCTGAGTGGGCACAGGGAGACGGCCCTGTGAGATGATAAGGCCATATTACGTAATGACCACGGGCCTTACACAAACCACACCACCTGCAGTGGATTCCAAGGCTGGCCTGATTTCCCAGAAGAATGAAAACAGCATTTGAACGGCTTCAAAATGGCTTTGACAGTA